TAAATTGGGCCATTCTAGGTTTATAATCTGATTGGGATTAGCAGTTGGATAAGATAAGTCTTATCAACTTGAGAGTCCAGATCTAATACAAGATTTAGATTAGGAAATCTCATTCCTAATCAGATTAGGAAGTTGATCCTGAAAAGATTATAAATATGGGGCGAATTCCATAGAAAATACACAATTTTCTCTGTAGTCTTTTCGCTCCCTCAGCTCTTGGTGCCATCCCAGTTCGATCTCCACCTATTGGAGTGATCAAGAATTGTTCTTGATATTGTTTCTTGGTGAAGAAACAAACAAAAATTGTGCTCACACCACCCTACTCGATTCTTGGGGAAGAATCTGAGGTTCTTGCTGAAGAACCATTCTTGCTAATCCTATCTCAACATACGTTGTGTCATCTTCAATGGAAACGGATTTGTATTCTCTTTGGGCGTGAAAACCTACGTTGGGAGTTCATTTTACTTTGTATCAGGTATATGCCTCACTTCCCTTTTGATTTCAGTTCTGGTCCGGTTTTGATTCAAGAACGAACCTTGAAAATACAGTTTTCTAAATTAGGGAATATGATCCCGGATGGGAGAGAAAGAAATTTTTTGAAATTTCGCCCAACATTCCTGTAGGGTTCGGCTATCCATATGATGGATCTCCCATCCCTTCACAATTTGCTTTCGAGCCAAGGAGTGGCTGAGTGGTTTGAGGCCTAGAGTGGTCGAGGGCTGATAGGCCGGTCCTACGAGGAGCAAAGGAGAGAGAATGTAGAGGCCCTGGGTTGATACCCGAGGCGGAGACTCCGACAATCAAGTTAGTGTGGGTGCAATACAAGGTGGACGAGGCCTGAGATGGGAACACTTAGACGAGACCACAGGGGGAAGTAGAGAGTTCTAGGTAGTTTTGAGTCTAGATTCCAGATGTTTACCTGGAGAGGGTTGCTCCCTATTTATACTTGAGACCGTCTGTAGGTAGGTGGTCAAATATTGTTTCAAACAAATTAGTGTTGTGGCTCTCTCCTGTGCATCTTTGGGTAGTAATGGATGCTCCGGCCATGTCTCGTCGATGTATTCYAGGATAATCATCGACTCTGCAACTAGTTTTCCATTGTGAACAAGCACAGGGATCTTCTTGGGAACTGGGTTATACTTCAAAAGCAATTCACTCTTGTTGGACAGATCTTCTTCTATGTATTCGTACTCTATCCCCTTCGATTTCAGAGCCCAAATGACTCTGTAAAGAAATGGGCTAGGCCAAGCTCCCAACAACTTCACTTCTCCCATTTTAAGATATCTTGAGCTGGATATGGATGGCCTTCTAGTTCACTACAGCATTTCTTTATAGTGAGCTGGATATGGTTTAGGCCGGTCCTACAAGGAGCAAAGGAGAGAGAATGTTAGAGGCCCTGGCTTGATATCCGAGGCGGAGACTCCGACAGTCAAGTTAGTGTGGGTGCAATACAAGGTGGACGAGGCCTGAGGTGGGAACACTTAGACGAGGCCACAGGGGGAACTAGAGAGTTCTAGGTAGTTTTGAGTCTAGATTCCAGATGTTTACCTTGAGAGGGTTGCTCCCTATTTATACTTGAGACCGCCTGGAGGTAGGTGGGCTTGGACGGTCAGGATGCAGTCCTTTCCTAAGGAGCGTATCCATCCAAGGCCGCCGCATGCAGCCGTGCCATTGGTTCCAAATCGCACGTTTGGAAAGACAATGATCTCTCTGCCTCCACCTCCCAGTTCCATCCGAAGCATTGATGTGGGTAGGGAAATGGTGTCACAATCAGCCAAGGCAATGGGTGACGGAGTTTGGAAAGACAAACATTAGCTATTCATAAATAACTGAAGCACAAATCAAAAAAGAGAGAGAGAAGCAGTATTGGTCCAAGATGAACAAATTTAAATCCTTTAGAACCTTAAAAGAGGAAAAGAGGAAGATATAACAAGTAGTAAGGGAAAAAAGGCTAAACCCTTTGTGCCTCCCGTGTGCTTTTATGACATAGTATAGATTGGAAAACAGCAGCTAGTTAAGAACTGGGGTGAAGTAGGCATCGTCATGTCTCTCCGAGCTGTACTCCCAGCCCAGCCCCTGTTACGTATCGGACTGTAAGCATCTTGTTCTGAGGGAATGGCAGATCTCGAAATTTGTAGTCCTTACACAATCCGATACAACATGTATCCACAGACTCCTCATCTTGAATAACAATGTAACCCGAATTGGGTCTTTGAGGTGGAGGCAGAGAGAGGGAACTGGGAGGCTGCTGTATAGTGAAGGATGCCTTGTTCACATACATTATGTCTTCAATCCAATGATCTCCTTCTAACCTTTTCGGAATTGTCTCATGGGAGTACTTAGCATATACAAGGAAAAGTAGAGGATAAGGCAATCTGATTAAGTGAATGATGGCAAATTTGACAAGTAACCCATTAGCTTCTAGCCAACGTTGGTGTCTCTGCAACTACGAAACTCAGATCATTCACCTGCAAGTAATGGAAAACAGAGGAAATTGGGAAGAAGAAAGGGGAAAGGAAAGAAGAGAGATCAGGAGAGAGAGAGGGGAAGGACTTCGGAAGTCCATTGCCGCTACAACAGTTATTGCTACTGTTATTCGTGTAGCATGAGGTTGAAACAGTAGATTTCAACAGAAAACTAACGGAAAGAGGTCTTAATCGCAAAATAAAGTATAGGGGGTCTTTATCACAGACCCTATAGTACAGGGGGTCTTTATAATTTACCCTATAAAAAATAACACCAAAAAAATTCTGCTTAACTGAGATAGAGATAGAAAGATTGATCTAATAGGAGATCCATACGGGTAAAGATCAACAAATTCAATCAGGTTTAATTTGTAATTTGATTTGAATTTCAATGGGCTACACATGCCCAATTAACATCATAAAAAATAATCGGACAAAATATAAAAACCTCTCTTTCTTTGGCAATCATAATAACCTTTACAGAGTTTTACTTTAACAAAAACCTCCCCCTGTCGTTACCTCCCTTCTATCTTTATAACGAAAACTTCAAAGTTATGAAATTACTCTTGCAATTTATTAAAGTACCTTTTAATATAATTCAAAATGTCAGATTTATCCTTTAGACTTCGTTAGACTTAACGTTTTTTTAGAGGAAAATTAATTTATTCTTTTCAATTTTATTTGAGAGATTTTTAAATTAAAAAAAAATCTTTTGAGAATATTTTAATAAAGTTTTATATAAATTAATAGATATAAGAGTAAAATAGCTGCTTTTGAAAAACTAATGCATTTGGCTAACATTTTTTGGTGCAAGACAACAATAAAAGCGAGGTAACTGCTGGTTTTTCAAGGTGGTTTTGTGAAAATGAAACCTCAGGGGTGATTGTCAGAAATCTCAGGGAGGTATACCCAAAATCATAAAGGAGAGGGGTTATTGGGATTTGAGTGCCTGACATTTCAGGCCAACCTTTTCTATTCGCCACGTGGTAACCAATTTAGCCACCTCAGACCACGTGTAATTCCCATGAGGATGCCTGCTGTACATGCAAGTGTTCGCAGCAGATCCCGAGTGGCTTTGACGCCTGAACAAGTGGCTTCCCAACAAAAGTTGAACTCCATTCAAATAGCCAAATCTTTGATGTTTGATCAACATCAATGAGCATGACAGGGTAGAAGAACCTCCATATCGATCAGATCCGAGAATGGAACAAGTGAAGCTATTTGGAGCTTTTCCAAGCCCATACGTTTACAGAGTAATCTGGGCTCTGAAACTCAAGGGTGTGAAATATGAGTACATAGAAGAGGATCTCTCCAACAAGAGTGCTTTGGTCTTGGAGTACAACCCAGTTCACAAGAAGGTTCCCGTTCTTGTTCATGGTGGAAAGCGAATTGCAGAGTCCATCGTTATCCTCGAATACATCGAAGAAACATGGCCGAGTAACCCTCTGCTGCTTCCACAAGATCCTTATGAGAGAGCCCAAGCTCGGTTCTGGATCAAATTTGGAGAAGACAAGGTAAATCACTTTTTACTTATTGCGCACAGACACTCGTAGCCCAGATGTTTGATTTAAAATCTTTGAAACGATCCTCTGTTTGCGTTTTCTGAAGTTTTTGGTTTTGGTCACGAAGGGAGCAACCTTCATTGCAGTGTTTTGGTCTGTTGGGGAACAACAGGAGAAGGCATTCAGAGAGGCCTCGGAAGTGTTGAGAACCATTGAAGAGCGTGCTCTTGGAGAGAAGAAGTTCTTCGGTGGAGATAGAATTGGAATGGTGGATATAGCATTCGGGTGGATTGCTCTCTGGATGGAAGTGATGGAAGAGCTCAAAGGGGTGAAGTTGATGGAACCCCATGCGTTTCCTCGCCTGCATGCATGGATGGAGAATTTTAAGGGGATCCCTGAAATCAGAGACAACCTTCCTGATCGCCATAGAATGTTGGTCCATTTGAAACGTAGAATGGAGATGGTGGCCAAATCGCAGTAATGAAAAAACTAGATTCTTGGGTGGTCTTTGGTCTTTTGTAGTTGGAGTCAGGGCTTCCCCTCTCTTAGGCTTCTCTGTTCTCACTAGGGCTTGAGATAGTTTAATGCTTATGTTGCAATATTGTAGCTTGTGTTTTCCTGTATTTTCTGAGTGGGTAAAAGCTTGGTTTCGGGGTTCCGAGTCAAAGAACTGGTAAAGCAGAGTGCTAAAGTACGACCGGTGGGCGATTCGATCGATCACCGAATTAACATGGCCCACCGATTAAACCCACCGAATTAGAATCGGTGGCGCACTGGTATGATTCCACGTTTTGTTATTATTAGCGGTGAACATTATTTTAGTTCTTGAAATTTTTCATCATACCCCTCTGTACATAGGGATTTTTTTCTTTTTACTATATTTTGTGTTGGGTGTATTGGGTGTTAGGTATGGGGAAGGTTCTGGTGAGATCTTTTTTTTATAGTGAACAAGTAAAATTCTGAGTTGCTACTCGTGGAAACCGACCAAACCGAGTTGGCCGGTTTTGGTTTCTTCAGAATTGGTTGGTTTCGGGTTAAAAAAAAACATGAATCGATGGTTCGATTTGGTTTTGGTTTTCATTTATGAAAATCAAAACTAAATCGATCCAATCCGACTTACATATATATTATATATATAATATATTTTAGATATTATATATATATATAGGCATTCGGCCTTTGTTTTTTTAGACTTAATCTTTTTTTTTAGACTTAGAATCTTTTACCGTTCACGTCAAGAGAATCATTCACAAAATCGCAAGAAGTGAAAGAGATAAGAGAACGCAAAACACATGCATATATAGCAAGAAGGTGAAAGAGATAAGAGTGCCAGATTTAATTTGATTCGGTCAAATTGACTATATCCACGAGTAGCAGTTAGGAATTTTATTTAGTGGATTCATACCGGTGGGACGCTGATTTTAATTTGGTGCTGGAGTATGAAATATATGGAATTTCATATTAACTGTAATGCGCTTTGACTATTACRATGAATATTTAGCCAAATAATTCCATGCTTTGTACAGCTGACATATATTTTGTTTTTGTTGTTCTATTTGCATTTGTTTACAGAGCTTCAATAAATCATAAATCTGGACTTCACAGAGAAGTTGTAAATTTTTCTGATCTAGAGTTGTTGTTTCAATAGTGGAAGAGAGATCTTGTATGTATGTATGTAGGGTGAAACCGGCTGTTGGCTGGTTGATTCATCGTTGGTCCAGTTTTCTTCCCCTGAACTGATCACTTGAAACAAAAAACTGCTGATTCAGTCCACAATCTTGTGACCCAATTAGTTGATCTATTGAACCATTTAACCCAAAGTCCCAATAAATGGCATACCTTTTTTTTTTTTTTTTTCAGTTTAATTATTTGGGAGGTATTTTATGTTTACACGAAACCCCCCTTATCAGATATAAGACCAATTTGCCACCCCCAAGTTACCCGTGATCTCCTCATATATATCCTAGTAAATATATGAAAGTGACAATTGGTTCAACCAGTAAAATATTTTGATTGTATTGGTTCTCGCACAAATGGGATTGAATCAATGAAAACGAGACTCCCTAAAATTTTCACTTCATCAGAAATGAGTCACAAATGTTACTGCACATGACAATGTGGGAGGCTTTCTGTGTTCCCTCTAGAGAGAGAAGCCCATTTGGTTCGCAGGAATAGGGGTTTGGTTATTTCGATTCCGATTGTTTGGTTGGGCAGAATCGGAACGGTTTAATTACAAAGAATCATTCCGATACGGACTCTAACTCTAAGTTGTTTTGTGTTAAGTTTAACAATGACAACATGTTTAAAAAAATGATTGTGGCTGAGAGGGCGACTAACCAAATAACCAAATAGTGCAATAGGAACTGGTAAGGAAATGAAGTCGCCCATGCAATTATAGGGTCACCTCCGGGTGAGTCACCGGTGACCTGACGTGGCCAAATGCTTGATTTTATGACTTATGACAGATCAGATATACCACCGGTAAAATTTGGGTTACACGTGGTTAATTAATATGATAAAAATAATAAGGGATGTTATTTAAAATTCACCAAAACTATTTTACATTTCTTTTAAATTCACCGTTAACTTTTATTAATAAATAATAATCATTAATGGTGATCCAACCGAAGGTGAGGTTTAGACAATAAAATAAAATTTAGTGATAATGGCGTTTATAAAATAAATGTTTGGTATAATTTTGTCTTGAAAAAATGAGACAAATCTGCTTTAAATATTTTGCACGATTTTTTTTAAGTGCTATTAAATATTATTAGGCATCATATAAGCGTTTTTCAGCACAATAACATTACTAAAGCCAAACAGTAAAAAAAAGGTCTTGAAAATGAAAACATCAGATTTGATATTTTTTTGATAAACGGCTCACAATTTTCAAGAAAGCCATTTATCTGATAAACAGATCAACCAAATAACATTTTTGTTGCTCCGAAAAACTACATGGATACCAAACACCAACTATATATGAAAGGATATTTGCACTCTGGAAATGGAATCTACTTGTGCGAGTAGATCCCATTGGCTGGGCCGGGCTCGGGCTGGGCTTTTACTTTTCATTAACGAAAAATGTTAGGCCCGAGCCCGATCCATCCAACGGGCCAACAACTTGGGTTCGATCCCAGCCCTGATAAAAAGCCCGAAGTCCGATCTAATAAAAGAAATTAGAATTTTTCCCTATATTATTTATTTTAATTTAGATATTTTTT